CCCTGTACGATTTGGCATCCTGTATCTGATTGTTGACATACCACCGGGACTTGTCCGAGAGCCAGTCCAGGCGATGCGTGGACCACGTTGTCCATGGAACAGGTATGTCGGCAATGGTACTGGCCCCGGGGATCTCATGATCAGCGGTAAAATTATAATCGGGCTGATTGGCATAGTGCACGCGATAGGCCGGGTCCCGCGTCAAAATCTCAATGTCCGATTCACATGTTTGGTCATGGTAGGTGAAGATTCCAGCACAAGCGCCGTCAGGTGGTCTACCATCACGGAGAGATGGAATCGTCTTGTTCAAGGGCACGGTGGGATGTCGTTTTGGATCGCGTGGCGGCCATTCTTTGGGTTGAGGAGGTTCTGACACGACAGAGCCAGCTGGCAATATACGCAGCCGGACACGCACCGAGCACCGGTAGATGTTGCGTATGCGAGTTTCGATCTCCGCGGTGGAAGTGTATTCTGAAAAGCGGGTGGTGCGCAGAACAAGATACGTCGCATACGTATCATTTCGCTCGTAATCCCGGGTGAGAAAAACGTTGTGCTTCGAATTTATCATGAGCACCGGGGCTATAGGGGTGCCTCGGCGTTCCCAGTTCTGACTGCTCCAGTCTCTCTCGAAGGAGGTTTTGTAGAATACCAGTGATCTAGGATCCGTGTCCTTTTCATCATGCACTCCAGGTGAGAGATGACCATCTTGCGGGTCCTGGTCGTCTCCATCATCGTCATCATCCCAGTCCTCGTCGCCATAATCAATGGGCTCTGACATATTGAGATTGGCATGCTTCTTCAAATCCACTCCCCGAAAGTCCCAGAGCTTGTAGTGCTGGAAGTATCCTGGATCGGGCCCGGAGATTGTGTAGCAATCGCATCCATGTGGAGGTTTCTTGGCCGGTAGCGGCGGCGGTGCTCTGGGGACTGAGAATGTTGATGCTACAGTGCCAAGATAGATCACGGCGATCCCCAAGGACAAAACGTTGATTCTCATGGTGGCAGTAACAGCCTTGGAGGATCTAAGACTCCCAAGGTGGCTCTGGGTGAAGTGAAGAACTCGGAAGGTCTTTGTTTGACTCGATAGGAAACCGCGCTGGTCGTGATTTCCTCTTTAGGTCGAGATATCACAACCAACAACATCTGTGTGGTTTTCAGTGAATACACCAGCATCTAAGCCTGATGTTTCTTCCGAGTGAATGACTCTTCAATGTTTGTACAATTGACTAACAATTAGCTGTCCCTAGGTATCATACATTATCTAGTAGAGGTGCCAAATTGGCTAACATCTTCTAGTATCTCTCTCTCCTCGTATCAAAAGCATTCAAACCGCTGGTCCAGTCTCCGGGACTGGTTCAAATAGATCTTTCTTCAATACCTCCAATACCAGGTTCTCGTCGACATCTTGAAGGTTCACCGAAGAATCGGGAAGCGCTTCGTTTCCAGCCGTGTCATCATCATCACTCGTGGTAGAAGACTGGCCTATCTCATCTGGCTCAGCGGTGCGAAGATAGTCTTCCTCTAGTATGAATTTGGAGTTATCTTTGTCTGCAAAGAGTGTCTCCGCTGACTCTGGCAGTGCATAAATCGTAGGGAATTCTAGGACAGTCCGATTGCGCAGAACAGTATTGAGAGTTGAGGTTTGCAAGAGGGGAATTAGGACTGGCTTTTTGGTTGTGGTCCGCGGACGGTGAAGGTAGAAGTAAAGACCGCGGTGGGGGGCGATGGTCTGATTTGGTGCTTTATCCATTTGCTCGGTTGAGGCGCCTGCGGGTTCCTTTGCTGCGTCATTGGTCGTAGATGGGGGTGATTTTGCATCTGCCTCTTCGGCCACCGTCGTGACAGGGTCACCGGGTGCAGCGGTAGTCGTATTAGGGGTATCCAAATCTTCTTTCTTGTCTTCTTTCTTCTCTTCTTTCACTGGCTCGATAGCTATCTCTTGATCCTTCGAGCGTGGGCAGCATCGGTTATAGGCTTCGGCGACAGAGCATGTATCAATGACGGAATCACGAATGGTCTTCGCCCCATCAGCCGCAATCCACTCTATGGTCCAAGCAAGACGCTTATGCCTTCAGAAACACCCAAGTCAGTAAAATGTTCGACTTAAAAGACACAGGAAATTCTCGACTCACTTGGGATGCAAACGCGACCCATTCTGCTTATTTCTCGACATTCCCTTCGGAGCTCGAATAACTTTCACAGCAGCAGTCTCGGTGCCGCGCAAGAACGCAGCCTCGCCCTTGGCAAGGCCCTGGTTCGGGTGTTTCCTTTTACGGCCGGCAGCCAGATTCTGCAAACCTTCGGAGCTACCATCATCTGCCTGAGCACCGCCCGTAAGATCGATTCCGCGGTTATCGACTTCTCTCTCCGCGCGCTCGAGGGTGCGCTCGATGCCGGTGATGAAATTGAAGTCGCGGTCGAACGCAGATTCAGTGTTTAATTCATTGCGTTTTAGATATGCGGCAGGATCGCGCACGCCGGAGCATTGCGACCAGAGTTTATGGCGACGTGTGCAGGGTAGAGAGCAGGTGCGTGTTGAGCAGCGTGGACAGCGGTATTTGGGAGGATTGGCATGGCTGTACAGAGACGGGTTAGATTAAAAGGTATACCGGAGTACGTAATTGTTCATGGGCATACCATATTGAGCAGAGATCACTCAGCAAGGGATCTGAATCGGCCATCTTGGTTTGATTGTTCGATGCGGAGAGTTGGAGAGTCGGAGATTCGATGGGAAATTTATTTGTCTTATCGATAACGGCCTGAGGCAGAGATCTGGAATTAACTACGGAGTACCCCCGTATAGCTGTCACATTTCACAAACAACCTTAGTTTCTCCAGGCTCCAGGGCTAGACCTAGGAATGAGCCATGAACAGGATTAATCATCTAACAATGGTCTAATTTTCACTTGGATGTTATCTTTGCGGGGATACACCAGTCCCGTTCTCTGCAGATGATATCATCTGCAGATGTGATGATCAATCCCCGCTGCATTTCTAAGCTTCGGTGATATCTTCCGGGCCGACTGCCATTATTTAGTTTTTAGATTCCCCTATTTATCCCAGAGACTTACAAAAACATATCTTCATATATTCATATATTTCCCAGATTAAATATGGCTTCCAAGGCACTCGCGATCATTGCTGGCGTTGGCCCCGGCACGGTACGGTCTATATCTTCTCCCCTGATTCCATATAAGGATTGTCTGACGGAAAAAACAGGGCGCCTCAATTGCCAGGAAATTTGCAAAGTCCTACTCTGTTGTAGTGCTGGCTCGAAACCCAGACAACTACAACCCAGTTGTTCAAGAAATTAATTCCAGCGGCGGCCAGGCCATCGGCATCAGCACCGATGTCTCCGACTCGAAGAGCGTCAATGCTGCATTTGACAAAATTCAAGCAGAATATCCTTCCTCCAAGGTAGCTGCTGCTGTTTTCAATCCAGGTGGCGGTTTTGTGGTCAAGCCATTCCTCGAGCTGAAGGAAGAAGATTACTCGAATGCACTCAAGTCACAGGCGTACGTATATGCTGTTTCTTGTATCTACCTGATCCACATCATTCCAAGCTTAATATAGTTGGCATCGTTTTTTAATTATTTTGCCAAATTGCTAACTCTCATATTAGACAAGGCGCCTTCAACTTTGCCCAACGGGCTATTCCGCTGCTCCTGGACGCTCGCGAATCGTCGGAGTATCCGCCTACTCTGATCTTCACGGGAGCTACTGCTAGTCTTAAGGGTTCGGCTAAGTTTGCTGCATTTGCTTCGAGCAAGTTCGCACTGCGTGCGTTGGCGCAGTCACTTGCTCGTGAGTTTGGGCCTCAGGGTTTGCATGTATCGCATACTATTATCGATGGTGTCATTGATATTCCTCGCACCAAAGCCTGGGTATTTGAGCATGAAGATGCAAAATTGAGCCCTGACGCTGTAAGTTTGGCCCCGTTGGTTGCTTTATTTCGGACACTGACTAGTCACAGATTGCGGATTCATATTGGTATTTGCATACTCAGCCACGCACGACTTTTGCGTTTGAGTTGGACTTGCGGCCTTATATTGAGAAGTGGTAGAGCGCTTCTCGGGGTCTTTCTGTCTTACGAGGCAGAACGAAGATAGTAAGAATGCATTATTTAATGGGATAGGTTGGTATTATCGACTGAGATTCAACTTAAATCAAACTTGAAATTATGTACAGCTTTCCTACCTGATTTGAAACATATATGAAGCACCACTAGGGTATCACTGATTTTTAACGATAGATGCCGTAGACGGTCGTTAAGAATGCCACTGGTCCATAACTCTCTCATTGCTTCATATTGCCAGGCATTAATTTAGATATATAGAAAAGTATACTCCGTAGGGAGAGTCTCTTATATAGAATACACTTTTTTTACCGCCCTCGTATATATCTAGGGGATTATATCTAAAAAGACATCTAGACAGCATTTAAAAAGATAGCTTAAAGGATACCTCAAAAGATATCTAAAATGAATATAGCAAGGCCATATAAGCGGCTGATCGCAATTCTTGTCTTGTATATGCCTCCGGCGATGAATGAACTGGTGACATACTTAGTCGCCCATAGTCCACCACCGCATCCAGATTCAGCAAAAGGCAGAGAAAGTTACTGAGCTTATAAGTAGATTTGTCGGATTTCTTGGTCTCTTCAGTAGCTTTTGTAACTTGACTTCTTCAACAACTCAATATCAATCTCGCATTGCAATACTCGCATCGTGGTCCACCGCACTCAAGTGCGTTCTCGACTAGTAGAATTCTACTGGATTGGCAAGTATAACTGATAGCTAAAATTATATAGAAAGCCTATCCCCATGGGTTTGATAGCTAACTGACCTTGGAGGTAGTAATGTCGGATGGATAAGGTTTTATGCAGATGCTGAGTCAGCATGTAACGTCACCGTCTGGGGTGATTCCAGAAAACGGCACAGCCAAGCTCACCCAAGCTCTCACCTATCACCTCAACTTTCCTCAACACTCGCTGTACCCACCATGAGCTCCGACGACGCCTCGCCGCAGGCCGGACAGCAGTATAACAGCAATTCCTCAAACGACTCCCCCGAGCCCTCTCTGGCCACAACCCCGCGATCGCGAAATACAACAGGGTCCAACTCCGACCAGAGTCAATTGTGAAGCCTGATCTTTTCACATTGTACTTTGGATTTTTCGGCACAGCAGCCTGGACAAAAAGGGTCGCGACTACAGTGAACGAGCGAGTGGAGAACCACTACGTGCTGACAGAACGACCCCCGACCCAAGAGGAATTCGATGCGATTGTTGAGCACGGAACGCAATGCTTGTACCACGGACGGATGGGCATACCTATCAGCTCATTCCTCGGAACAGCATTGCTCTACCGCCAAGCACGCAAGTCACCATTATTCCCACGCGATCCCACACCAGCTGCACTGCTCAGCACGTTACGCACCATGTGGGCCGATTCCGCCCTCAGAGGCAACTTCGGATCAGCGGCATTTAAAATGATCTTCATCATGACTCTCGGCAGCATGGCATCGAGCGCTTATGCCGTTTCCCAAGATGCTATGCACATGTTGACGGACCCGCGATTGAAAGGGTTTATCGAGGACATGCGCAAGGCGAAACCAGAGGACGTGCGAAAGCGCAAGATCCAGGCTGCTAATGAGCGTCTTCGCAGCATGCGCAGTGGTGAGCAAGATGTCGGCTCCAAAATCATGGGCACGACTGGTGGATATGCCGGCGGCGAGGAGTACCAACTGGAGCAAGTGTCTGATTCTTCTCCGCAACCAAATTCTTACTCTGAATACGTGGACTCAAATGATACCAAGGGGAATTCTCAGTCTGCTTCATATGAGTCCCCTACGTCGGGTTTGAATGCTGGTGCGATATGGGCACGCGGTAGGAATACCCAGCCCGAGTCAAAATCGGCCTTGGACTTCATGGATGAGGACGATGCTAGCCCCACAGCTGCGGAGTACCGGAATACAAACATTGATGGATCGCCGACTACTGGTAGTGCTTGGGACCGGATTAGACGACAGAATGCCGCACCACGCCAGCCTCGACAGCAGTCCGGCATGTCACAACCTTTACCGAACCCTTACTCTTCCTCTGCCGAGTTTGGCCAGAGTGACCAAGAAAAGTATGACACCACCCAGAAGACTGAGAGGGATCTAGCACAGGCAGAGTTTGATCGGATGGTTGAGGCAGAGAGGAACGCTGGTAGCGAAGGATCACCTCGAAACCGAGGTTGGGGATCTTGAGGATCTTGAGGGCCTTTTGTCTATTTATCTTTGCATGTACAACTATGTCATTTTCAGCCTTTGAACATCTACTTCCATACCAAGAAATCTTCAACTAAGAGAAACAACCGATACAGTTATCATTAAGCCTTTGCAGGCATATATGTTTAGGTATGGTAACCATGATCAAGAAAGTATGAGCCAATGAAAAAGACATTTTAAAGACATCGCTGTCTGCAATCTTGAAAAGGAAAATATCAAAATCAGAGACTAGGAAATTGTGCATTTAATCAACCATGGGATTAAGGCTGATGACAGGATATGATATTTGGAATATAACTTTGGGCATATAACTCAGAAAACATTAAACAAGCAGAACGAGAGAGGGTATGAGCCCTTGAACAGGGGTAATATCAAATGGAAACGATGGACAGTAAAAACATGATGCGTGATGCGTTGAAATCCAGGACATTGCAATTTCATGATAAAAACAAGAACAATCAAAAAAAGTGGGCTCATGATGCAAAAGAGAGGAGAGAAAAATAATAACATAGACCAGCAGAAGATATATAAAAATAAAGGGACACCTCGTTGTCGTCAACTAGTTAAGCCCTAACGGGGACTTAAACATAGTTCGGACCCGGCGCGACATAGCTCTGACTCGGAAGAATATAGTTCGAGTTCGACCCAGCAACATGAGGGTTTAGAGTCTCATAGGGAGCCATCTCCGCTTCATGAGCCTGTGTCCAAGGCTCAACACTCCGACTATTGTTGCGCATACGAGTCAAGCTGCGCAGCTTGTTCGTGAAGCTCTCGTTTGAGCTACGGTTTCGGCGATGGTCAAAGGACATACGCTGACCACTCGACTGACGGGAATCCATTCCGTGAACGCCTACATTGAGAGCCGGAGCAGCAGTCATAGCACGAGGGAGAAGACGGCCGAGGTCTTCGTTGTTGTCTATAGCGATGTCGATTGTCGCAGAGGACTCGCGGGGCGAGACGGGGGTTGCGGAGAATGGGAATGGAGGTGGTGGGGGTGGGGTGTTGAGATGCTGCAGCTCTGGGAGGATGGGTGGCGGTGGTGGAGGGGGAATTGTCTCGTACTGCGCCGAGGATTCTCTCCCCATTGCATGCTCGATTGTCTCTTCGATGCTCACTTGAACGTGGGGAGAGGTGCTGGAGACGTAGCTGCTTGAGCTGGTGCGGTTATGGCCCTTCGCACGGCTGCGGCTACTGGACCGGCTCCGGGGGAGGGCTGGGTTAAACCGGGGATGCATGGGGAGGTCGTTGGGCATAGAAGGGGCGTTGTACTGTCCTTCTGGTACAGGAACAGACATCGATCGTCCGATTCTCTCGGCATCCCCTTGATACCGGGCATTGCTGAGGAACATACTGTTATCCGTGGGGATGATAGGCACAGAAGGAGGTCGCTCTTCGTCTTGTCCGCTTCCCCCGTACTTGGGATGCCGCATAGCTCGAGGAGTTGCCGGAAGCCCACTAGGCATTGCGGAACGTGAAGAGTTCGAGTCAGAGCTGCTGGGATAGTCGATAGATACTTTGTTTTGGGACACCTTGTTCCGCGATGGAGCTCGTTGGAAGTATGAGCTTGTACCAGAGAAAGGCGGGGAAGGCTCAAGGGGACTTCTTGCGCTTTGCAGCTCGCCCGGGAAGGGGATGTTTGGTGCTGATGGGTTGCGAGCGAGTGATAATCTTCGTGCCTCTAATTCAGCAGCGGCAATCTCTCTTCGCTTCCTTTCCGCGAGGGTGACGAATGGTGTCTTTGGAGAGACAACGTCTTGGAAATCATTAGCCGTCGAGCTTGGTTGCCCATTAGAATACTCATTGGACGTGTCTTCTTGGCCAAAGACCTTGCTGCTCAACTGCTCAGGTACAGATGCCTGCTGCACCCAGGGGTCTGATGTAGGCCCTGTTTGAATCACAGAGAGACTCTGTGATGTTTTGTGTCTGGTCTCTGGAGAGCCGTCTCTTTTGGAAGTTGTTCCTTTCTCGGCACGACGTCGACTGGCACTTCGGTGCCGAGATCGTAGTCTCTTTTGGTTACCCTCGACCAGTCTCAAAGGATTATCGAGATCTTGAGAAGATTCCTCTGTGGGATATGTCATAGGAAGAGGCGATGATGGTGATCGAGTGCTGGATCCTTGTCGGTCATTGCTGCGGCCTCGGATTGAGGCGTCTCGTTTATCTATACCGACACGGCTTGCAGTGTGACGACTTGAAGAGCGCTGACGGTTCCGAGACCCTGGCCCTCTCACCTTGCTAGAACTTCTAGTGCGAGACTTTGACTTCCGTGTTTCAACTGGCTTTTCAGACTCTCCAGTGTGGTATCGAGCCAGCTCATCAGGAGACATAGGCACCGGCGAGGAAGGAGAGCGCTTGGCGGGTTGGATGTATCGACGCTCACTCATACCGCGGGCATCTCGGGAGGTACCACGTGGTTGGTTGGTTCTTGAGCTCTGGCTGGCAGTGTCATCTGGGTTCCGTCTTCCACGGCCCGGGGTATGTGGACGGAACTTCCGCGCGTGGTAGTTCGCTTCATCCAGACTACTGATGTATTGATCAATACTACGGCCACTGACACTTGGGCTCCTAGCCGAAGCGTAGCTATTCGCTGTCGAAGCGGTGCTTTTAGCGCTGGGAATCAAATCGGAGCGGTCCTGCGGATTTCTTTCACCTTCCAAGGTCTCAATTTGAAGGCCGTCTGGTTTCCGATCTCGGGACCCGTTACGATGGTCATCATTTGTGAGAGCCTCAAATACACCGGCAGCTGGTGATGGAAGTCCCTTAATTGCGGCAAACTTGTCTGCCCCTTGCACAGCAGTCTGGGGACTGGGCTTGAGAGAGTCTAGACTGGGGTTATATTTCGCGGCCGACAAAGTGAGAAGACCGTTATTGCTCTCCTTCTCATCTTGGCTCTGCTCCTGTCCGCTCATTTCATTTTCGGAGGTGGAGCTATACTCATTCTGGCTGTAAGAATTCGACCGTGAAAAGCTTGGAGGGTGCACATCCACTGGTGTCTCTCCTATCGAGGGTAGACGACGCCGATTAAAAGAAGGAGTGGTTGTTCGAGAAGTCATTGCGTGGCTTAGGCTTTGGATGTTGTTCAGTTTATAAGAGCCAAACCCACCAGGGGACATTGCTGACTCGGGAACAGCAGATTCGGCAATCGGAGTGATTCCAGGTGCATTTGTTGGCGTGCGATCGTCAGACTTTAAGCCAGGGAAGCGGAAACGTCCTGGCTGTGCGTCAAAGGAAGTAATAAGCTTCAGGGCTGGTGTTTTCAATGTAGGTTTCGAGTTAGATGTAGATCTTGGTCGGACGGGTGGTGGCATATTGTCTTGTGAGGGTTCGGGCGAAGCGAGAGGAGATCTGGAGCGAATCATTTCTGCAAAAGATGAAGTTTGCTGAGCAGATGGAGATGCCCACGGCTCTGAGGGTTCCGCTCCCGTGCACATAAAACAGCGAATGGCAAGTTGTTGCTGGGAGTGAGTAACGACATGTTCTCCCCATCGACGAACGAGATATGACTGGCGCTGCCAGTCTGACGGGAACAGGATGCATGTCATGAGGATAGCTTCCATAAAGTGATTGCGAGAAACATAAACCTCGATAGCATCATTGCTATCCCCGAGACCAAGCAAGATCGCGGCCGAAGTGTGTATGTCCCCGATCTCAAGCAGCTTCTGTGCAAATGCTTGTCCGACTTTGTTTGCCTGCGCCTGGCCACTCATCTGACTTAAAGCAAGAATCATCCAGTCGGAGGTTGTTACCTGCCCAGAGCTAATCATTGAGGCCATTTCATCTGTGTTGGTCTCACCAAGCCATTGCATTAATAGAATAGCACTTTGACTACCCACAGCGTGGCGGCTCACTAAGAATTGTCAAAAGATGTCTCCAGTATAGAGAATACGGGGGAATACATACGCTCATCTGTGATCAGATCTTGGATGTCTCCATCCCAGCCAAAAACCACGCTCAACATCTGCAGACGAAGATCATCCGTAGTTAAATTCGTCTCATCGATAGGCGGCTGCTGTTTGTAAGGCACATCAATCAAGCGAGCCCGAGTGAATGGGAATAGATCCACAATGTTCTTATCGGCAGGGCTGAGATGAACCTCGTTCCGCAATCGCGATGCCGCCCTCGAACTTCTCACAGATGACATCGAGACCGAAGATGGATAGGCGAATGAAGCAGAAGCTTGGGGTGTATCATGACCACCCGACGTCATCGAAAATGTGGTAGCACTTTGACCAGAACGACTTGGCGGGGAGAAAGGCCTCATATTATACTTCCCAGAGGATGCCTTCGAGCTCACCGATTCCGTCCGACTACGCGATGAAGCAGGGCTCGTCAGATCTGCCCTCTGTCTGAGACTCTCGATACTGTTTGCATCAAATGGTGTTCGTCTGGCCGCGCCTGGTGGTTCTCGGATATCAGGAGCGTCCTGCAAGCGACGTGGGGACATTGTTTGCGATCGACTGCCTTCCGCGGTGCCAGGCCGGGGAATGATTGGAAGATGTTGTACATTTTTAACCATTGCCGGGTTTTCCAGATCATACTGCTGGACTGAGTGCTGGGGGCCGATGGTGAATAGCGTCGCAGTAGGTCCATAGTTTGCGATGCCTCGTACACCGTCGATAGTGGGAACTGGATCATAAGTAACATGTTTTGTTCGAACATCCCAAGACCATGTTTCTCTACAACCAGATGTCAGCAAATTCCTAGTTATCCCCCCGAAGGGTTGCGCACCCTTCCAAATATTGCACCAGTCTTCCATTCTTTGACCAGCCCATCCATTTAGGATCAGATGAATTTGAGTCAGATCGTTTCAATACCCTAATCACTCGAGGCGACTCTTTTCCCGGTGGTTTTGCCACACTCCAAACTCGTAGATCGCCATTCGATGACTGAGTTGCAAGCATGTCTGACTTCTGTTTCGATGAGGATGCATGCCAAGCTAAGGAAATAATTGGCGATGGCCCACGCGAAGTAGTCAAAGTGTGAAGAATGGTGAATTGAGGAAGTAAAGTCGCGATCAATATAGAACCATTTTGATATCTGGAACCCATTAGCTTCCAAGTGTTGTATGTTAATCATATTCATCGCACATACCCAATTGCATAAGTACGACAATCGGTGGCGGGCGCAAGAGCTGTGATTGGGTCGAAAATGGTGCGCGCAGAGATGTGCTCTGAAGTGGGAGGTTCAAATAGGATCACCTCACCCTTGCCATTTCCTGTCTTTAATCAGCAAATCGATTCAAAATTCATAAATTATAAGGCGTGGGGATGCTCTCACCAAATGCAACGTTGCCATTACGCATCCACGAAGCTATTCGCAGATGATCGAAGGAAGCAAAGCGGGCAATCTCCGTTCCCGTGAAGATATCCCAGACAATCGCCGTTTGCCCTACATCGTAACTGACAACCAATCTCCCCGCACCCCGTTCGCTGACATTATCAACCGATATAAAGTCAATGTTTTCCTGGTGACTCTGAAAACGTCGTTCGATGGCCAATGTATCATGATGCAAACATAGGATTGTTGAGCCCTGGGCGTAGAGGAACAAGGACGCCGTCGAAGCGCAGGCCTCGAAGCGAGGCTGGACAGCTGGCGGTGCAGGTGCCATTGCTTTGACGGTCCTCAAAGGTCGCAATTCTGTCCCCAGGCTCCTATTCCATGTCAACTCAACCATTCTATTTGCCCAGATGCATATGAGACAATTTGCGGGGAAATTGGTTTACTAGAAGCGGATTTGTTCAAGACAAAAGTCCCAAATGATATATCTCCAGAACAAGAGGGAAGAGAAAAAAAAAGAGTCTAAACAAGATTGGGCCACTGACCTCTGTTTAAGCCAGGTAGATTTCTAATCGGCCACCCTGAGTACCGGTCAAGGTAAAAGACGGGAATGTCCAGGATATCTCAAAGCACATTTGGGTGGGAGAATTAGCGCCTGACAATGTGACTGAAATATAGTACCTAGGTAGGCGCGAAGATCTGGGCCCTATAAATGAAAAGGGTGAGATGCAAGATATGTAAGAAATATGCGAGAAGGCACGAGAAAAATAAAAGGGAGGATGCAAGCCGTTAGAACAAGGGAGGGGAAAAAGAATAAAAAAGAGAAATAAGATATTCAAGTGTGACACTGGAAGCAACTAGGAAATTGAAACTCGCTTGCACGTTCATCACATAGAAAGCGTGACGGAGGGGGCTTGAGTTTTGTGACAGGATGTAAGACTGGGGTTCTATATAACGATAATATACATATAAGCAAGACTACCCGAGGAAATAGGAGAGAGTACGGAATAAAATGAAGACAAACATTTCCCAAAAAGAGGGGAGCATCGATAGTCGATCCAAATGAAAATACGGGGACTACTAAGTAATGGTTGGCGCTCGGAGGGATTGCTGGGCGCTTTCATTTCCTAACTGGACCATACAAGTGTCCCGTTTCTCGCGTTGCAGAGGGACCGGAGCATGACCCGGGATTAAAAGCACCATATTCAACACATTATTAGCGGAGACGGTGAGATCGAGCCTTCTTGGTGGCTGGGTTATCCTGCGGGACTTGCACCAACGAGCATGCAGAACTCAAGCAAAGGAAAAAGTTAACCAAGGTTAGGTCAATGCAGACAATGTTCCCGAATCACTTGAAGAAGAGAGTCCCTGGTCCTTGCACTATCTTTAGTGCCCTGCACGTCGATCACTCGGAGGTAAAGCGTTTACTAGTACTCCGTATTCCGTACTTTATATAGTTGAAAGTATATAACCCTAACTCCAACTTGACCAACTTGATATCTTCTCAACTGCAAGGAACCGCCCAATTTTCAAATGATAAAAAAACTGATATGCAAAAAAAAAGAAAAGAAAAGAAAAATAACGATAATGTGATCCGAGACAGCAATGTGATTGGGATCCGTGCTGTTGTTCTTAAGCTGCAGCTTCGTCACTTCACCTGGCCAATCACCGTCCATCACCGCTGATCCCTCGGCGCCTACACAACCACCCCTCAGCCAATACCTGCACTCATCCAGCCATTCCATGATGGTCTAAAATCAACTAGAGAACGGCATAAATTGGCTCTATTGGCCTATAGCAGCCTTCTTTTTGGCTTGAGTTCGGAGAAATGACCGTTCAGAAGTTTCATACTTGAACTAGTGTTTCCGATGTCTATCAATGACGATCTCGCCTTCTTTTTTTTTTGCTTTCTTCCACGAGGCTTATATTGAAGTGCGGAGTACCGCAAAGTGGTTTTGCATTTTGGTTCCTGTGATGTGACAGAAATGCAAAGATATGCAGTCATCCCTGCACAAAAAGGCACCGTCGAACATCCTGGAGCTTGGGCCCCTGTGATAGTATCGGGGGCACCGGCAGAGTTTTCAATCGAGCTTGGGCAATGAGAAAGGACTATGAAGTCGAACTGGATGTATTGGATCAATTCCGATCCTTGAAATAATACAAGTCATAAGAGAAGCCTTAGTATACATAGTCCCGTACATATTCAATGCGGGCCAAGACAGGATGCGAAATAAATGCACACCTACTATTGGAATTAAGAGACTATATTCTACCTATGTATGTCCTCTATATCACTAATAATCCAGGAATACTGCTATACTACTACCTAAGTGTTGGATGCCATGCCTTATCTAAGACAAGTGGACCATGCCATATCCCGTTATCATCTGATCGCGGGGGTCTTATCGCCTTCCAAGGTTCCCCGGACCCTCTTGACTCATACAATCTCCCCAGGACAATTGGAGAGCTTGTCAATGAATTGTTCCCTATAAAGACTTTGTTAATCTCTCGTGACAGCTACTTCCAACTCTCAACATGTCCAAAGAAACAATCGTAGTGATAGGGTCAGTCCAACACTCCCACATATAATATCCTGAAACCAATCAGGCCCCCAAAAGAGAAAAACAAAGTCATCACAAGACACAACAATCAGCTGACAACCTCGACTAGAGCGGGTGTCATTGGCCTTTCCACCGCACTGTGCATCCAACAACACCTTACTCCGACCCAATCCATACTTCTCGTAGCCCGCGAGTTCCCCTCAGAAACTTCCGTCAACTACGCCTCGCCATGGGCAGGAGCCCACTACCGCCCGGTGCCAGGCTCCTCGCCACAGGCTTTGAAAGAAGCGAGCCAAGCGCAGCGCACATATGAGTTCTTGAAGCGGACTGCGGCCGCTGAGCCCGGCGCAGGAATCAAGTTCGTCGAGGGTGTTGAGCACCTCGAGGCTCCGCCACCTGAGTACTTGGATCAGCAGAGTGTGAGCAATGTCTACTCGCATGTGGATGGGTTCCAGATGCTGGGAAAAGAGGAGGTTCCAGTTGGTGTGGTGTGGGGCGTGAAGTACGGGACCTATGTGATTAACTCACCCGTTTACTGTGCGCATTTGCTGCGCAAGTTCGTTCTTAAGGGGGCGAGACGAGACAGTATACGCTTGCCAATGTGAAGGAGGCGTTCAGTATGGCGGGGAATGTGAAGACCGTGGTAAACTGCTCTGGAAGTGGGTTTGAGGACCCGAAGTCATTTATTATTAGAGGTATGTGTGTCTACGATAAGAGTGATAGTGATGGTGATGGCGATGGCTGTGTTTGGGATGCGCTTAAATGTCTATGTTCCGAGTATGTGGGTTGACATGTCCTCTAGGTCAAACGTGTCTCGTACGTAACCCCGTCTCGAAGACCATTACTCGACAGAATACAGATGGCTCGTGGTCCTTCTGTATTCCACGGCCCCTCGAAGGTGGAACCATCATCGGAGGCACGAAAGAGCCGAATAACTGGGACCCGAACCCATCGCTGGAAACGAGGCAGCGCCTCCTCGCTAACGCAGCTAAGTGGTTCCCTTTCACGCCCGAAAGCGACGGCCAGTTCGATGTGATTCGTGATATTGTCGGTAGGCGGCCTGCTCGAGACGGCGGTTTGCGCATCGAGGCGGAGAAGCTCGCTGATGATGTGTATATCGTTCATGGGTATGGTGCTGGTGGTCGCGGCTTCGAGCTGTCTCGGGGTGTTGCCGAAGATATCGTAGCCGTGATGCTTGAGAAGAGGCTGTTGCAGGCTAAAGCCTCGCTGTAAAACTATTTGTTGGCATTCACGGAGCGCATACATTGTTTATAGAGAGAATGTTGTACATATTTGTTGAGTTGATAGATCTTACTATGTCGTGCAATCTGATACATAGAAAAATAAAAGTCATCAGGTTCATTTGAATGAACGAACTTTTTGCTACCAACAAAATAACGAGGTGCTATCAAAAGGTATATCGGCCGTTGATTCTTCCGTCACATGGGACATACAAGACTTATAAAGCCTTTGTGCCCCCGTGGCTAGTCAGCCTTGACCTTTTCCTCTACGCATGACATTTTTAGTACACACGTATGGAGGTTGGGAAGAAAAGGCGACCAACCGAGCCCTCAGTGATGAGCGAGGTTGCATACAAAGCGAGCGGTTTGGGCAAGCGATTGTAGCGATCACTCGACATCGAGATCCGACCCCACAGCAACACGAAACAAACTTCAAGGTTGCATGTGGCTGGGGGAGAAGGATCCTCAAGGGCCCACGAATCTAGTATCGTGAGGATGTGGAGGGACTCAACCCACAGCTTCAGGTGTGACAGTTTCAGGTATACTTGTGGGTGTGCTTGTTGGCAGAGTCCCACCACCGAGCTTGAGCAGACGTTCCTCTTCCTTTTGTTCACGCAGCCTCTCGGTCTCTCGTCGCATGACTGACAAGTTCCAGGTTCCACTCTCGTCCTCGCCCTCCTCGGCCTCACTATCCTCCTCAGCCCAGTTTCCGCTCTCGAACAGTGTACGACCAGTAGCCTCCTTAGCCTGCTGTGCTTGGAACTCGGCGGCCTTCTTGTCCATACGCTCCTTCTTCCACTTGGCGAAGGTCTCCTCGTTGACGGGTGTGAGGGTGCCAGTCAGCTTGTGACGCTCGGAATCGAGCCAGTCCTCTAGGGTGAGAGTGTTCAAAGGCGACTTGTCCTTAAGGGCCTTCTCAGCGGCTCTTTGCTCCCTTGTCTTCAGAACGAATCTATCCCCGCTGTTAGTATTGCATACTAGGCACCCATAAATGGCAGAAAGACATACCCTGGTGGCAAGCTGTGCTTGTACATGCACTTGTCTCCTCCATTTGGACAAGTCCAGAACCAACCGTATTTCTGGTTCTCCACTGCTTCGATGAAGAATTTGCACACCTTGTCGGTGGTTGTGCGTGGGTTGCCGTGTTTGCTCAGAACGACACTGCGTAGTTTCTCCTCATCCCAGTCGTCCATGGTATCCTTCTGCTTCTTCTCTTCTTCGGCGGCCTTCTCATCACGGGTGTCGGTGTACAAATCCTTCTTGGCTGCTTTGCGCTCGACATTGGGGTCGTGTGAGAATTTGCACTTCCGGCCCTTCTCGCAGTGACCCTGCTTGAAGAAAATACAGAGGACAGTCTTCGGGTCAACACCGAAGGCAACCTTCTGGACCTGCACGGGTTTGAACAACTCAAGGTTCTCTTTCCTGGCCCGCTCAGCGGCCGCCTTCTCGGCCTCACGCTTCTCTTTTTCGGCGGCCTTCCTCTTCTCGTCTAGGTTCTTGTTGCTTGCGGCTTGTGCTTGCAACTGTTGGATCTGCTTCTTGGCGGCACCACCTTTTTTCTATATTGAACGTTAGGGCACGTTGGGGTATATCGCGAGTGGGCTCGCTTTTCAAAGACTTTGGATCGAGGGTATGACGTACATTTTTCATACCAAAGGACTTATCCTCAACGGTGGCCTTCTTCTTCTTAGGCTGATCGGCCTTCTTGGGAGGCATGGCGACGGTTGGGCGGACGTGACGTCGCGGATTCGGGGAAGAGTAAAAATGTGAAAATGCGCCTGTGCAGGGTGCGCCTCAGTTTGGTGAGAATGAGATAAAGAAAAGACGCTAATGAAACCCGAAAGAATGACAGGGAGATCTAAGAAAGATGATATCGAGTGGGCAGGAATGCCAGGGTTGGTTGTAGAGTGAAATGTTCTCGAAAACGAGGGGTGTGAGAGTGTGACGGTAATTTTTGGTTAACCAATGACGGTGCGGGTCTTTTTTACTCCAGCGTCCACAGGTCTGCGGTGCGAGTCGAAATATCAAAGAAGTACATATGTAGACTGATATGAGATTTATATATAATTGTCTTGAAGATTCAATGTTTTTACTAGAGAATCACTGTTTTCTCGGAATTCTATCACTGGTGTACAATATCGAAGTTTTGAGCATGTGCTCTTCATATTGACATGCGTCATATGCCCACTAATATTGTGCCCTCCACACCCACAATAGGGCCTCTCGTTATGTAAATTATCTGTACGCCACGACATAATAGAACGCATATTGAAACATTTATATTTAAATAGTTTGACGGTTTGGAGTCTTTTATTCATGTTTATATGGCTTCCAATCGCTACCAAATATCTAAAAAAAAAAAAAAAAAAAGCTATCCAATTACGGTGTAAATAGTCAAGGCACCGGCACCTATTATAATGAGAAATATCCTAGAGAATCTCCTAAACACAGAGGCCACTTAACATGAAGTTGATATTTTATTATTGCCTTTGAAAAACCAACTCCTCACCTCCACATGGCTGTCACCACGCCGTGCAAGAAGGTTGATCAGCCTAGGAAGGAGCTAACCGTGGAGATGTCTCCGAAACAAGTCCACCTACGATATACCTACAACTATGCTGTAGGCCGTACCGAGGTACAGCTACCTGGTCTATATAGCTCTACATGAAAACCTCTGGGGCTGCAATGACCACTCATCACGCTTCATCAATCATTGGGATGTTTTCAATGAAATAGATCTACTATGTATAAAGGTTGGCCTTGGTTCAAAGCTGCCTGGTCAAAATATCCTTGCAGTCAATGAACGGCGAAAACCCAAGCAAATCCATATTTCAAGCCATCATCCCGTAGGCGTCTTAAAGCGCCCTCATTTTTCGTTTCTGGTCGTCATAGATTTCGCAGAAAACAGGCATCTCACATTTAAGAAATTTCCTGGATCTTGGTGGACTTCTGGCCGTCGGCCTCTTCGAGCTCAGGAAGGTCCTCCTGCAGAGTTGTATTAGTAGATAATCACAGATCACTGATAGGCGAGCAAACTTACATCGTCCTCCTCGGCACCTTCACCACCGGGCACACCGCCCATACCGCCAGCCAGAGCACTGAGGTCGGGCATGCCACCCATTCCACCCATGCCGGGCATACCGCCAAGCTTGGAGAAGTCGATGTTGCCTAGACCACCGGCACCAGCATTGGGGTCACCACCCTCACCACCGAAACCGCCGAAGTTGTTGGCGTAGTCATCTTCACCAGCCTCATCCTGCTCATCCTCGTCGACCCACTGCATGCGATTAGCCAACATCCATCATAAATTAGAATGATCAAGCATACCTTGTCAAAGTTGGTCTTCAGGAAGTGCATCTTCTGCTTGCTCTCGAGAAGGCGGGGCCAGAACTCTTCCTTGAGCTCCTTCTTCCGGAGCACGAGCTCGACGTCGCGGTCGGTGTGGTTGACTTTGGAGTTCTCGGGGTCGATCTCGGCAAAGAGGTCCAGGGAGACGTTGTATGTTACGCCCTTCCGGGAAGTGCCCTTGAAAGAGACATTCTTCTCGGTGATGCTGAGGGTAGCATCGGCCTTGGGAACCTCGGCAGCCTTGATGTTCACGTAAAGGTAGTTGCGCTCAGGGTCCGAGTCGGATGAACGCTGAGCCCATGTAACTGAAACGAAACAGCATGTTAGCGCCTTGATCTCATTTACAAATGAAATTGTAGAATTGGCATAGTGGATGTTTCAAGGCAGTCTTAAACATTGGATAACGTCATAGTAAATTCCATGCAAAATGTGCAGTCCCGCGTTCGAGAGCGGGGAAGCAGTAGAGCAGTAACAACGTACCTTCGGGAGTCAAAGTTTGAGACATATTGAATTAGGGATGGAAAGATAACTGGAAGAATTGAGAAAAGGGAGGGAGATAGAAATCGTGGTCAAAGGGAGGAGAAGAAGTGTAGGAGAAGCTCATTCACGACCTACCTAGGTGCTATGTTGTAGAAACTGGTAGAAGCATGCCTCAGGCATTAATTATGTGGGACATCGTATTACATCAGAGCTGACTCAGTTTCCGCTCCCGGCTAGGACGCTGAGCGTGGCACTTCAAAGTACTGCCAGGCTTGAATATTGACAGTCGCATCAGTGTATACTGATCTGAAGACCGAGCCGAAGACCTAGCGATTCTGGTCTTCGACAAGAATCCTACCATACAGTACCCCGAAGGTTCAAAACCGCGCCAACATAGCCAACGAATTAGCCTTGCCCCGCCTATCTCTAAGACGATGCACCGTGTATGAGCCTTAATCGCTGATCACAACTCACCTGGGACTTAAATCCTTCGTTGAACATTCCCGACGCTTTTGATTTGCCTATTTGCCTTATTTTTTTAAAAAAAAATCACCGCTTTCCATCTCTATTACCGCAAGACTGTATTCATGGAGAGTCTGAAGGCGGTATTCTTTGGGCCCGACCCACAAGCCCAGGTAGGCAGTTGGTGCGGTGGCCCGTTAATGCCTGGAAACATGACACTGATAAAGAATAATCTGTCAGATGAGAAAATGCAATGCTTTAATACGCACGAATACACGGCAACTCGACCGCGATCTAGCCCGGCTAAAAGCCAGTGACAGTCTGACCCGCCAGCACATCGTCAATGCCTCTAAACGGGCCCAGCGAAATCCATCCCAGGCCAAACAGGCTCACAATGACACCAAGGTCTTTGCAAGGGAGCTGGTGCGCATTCGGAAACAGACCACACGATTGAATACCAGCCGAGCTCAACTACAGAGTGTGGGAATGCAGGTCAATGAAGCCTTCTCCGCGCGCAAAATCCAGGGTAGTCTTCAAAAGTCAACTGGGATCATGAAGGATGTGAACACCCTGGTCCGGCTGCCCCAATTATCTGCGACCATGCACCAGCTGTCTTCGGAACTAGTCAGGGCAGGCATTATCGAAGAGATGGTTGATGATGCTACTATGGACCCTTCCGTCTTCGAAGATGAGGAAGACGAAGCAGAATCTGAAATTGAGAAGATCTTGCAGGAAGTTTTGCAGGGAAAACTCGCCCAGGCCCAGCCCGTTACGGCACCACCTGTGGCCAAAATCTCAGAGCCGGAATCTCCAGAAGTCGAGGAGGAATTCGAAGACCAAGAAGCCACCCTCGCGCAGATGCGCGGTCGGTTGGAAGCTCTCAAGAGCTAGTACATATTGCAAACTCAGAGCGTTAGTCTTGTTTATTTGTTACTGAGTCGTCTGCTTCACGACTCTCGCGTTTGGAGTTGGGTGCGTGTTTTTCCATAGTCTATTCTCCAAGGCTGGACCTGCACATAATGGATTTCTGCTTGTTTTAAAATAATAAAGATTTGTATTCAGTATCACGTGGATCTCACATAACAATGGGACAATAGGTTAATTTAGACAAAAAAGGGGAACAAAGCATGTAGGTACATGGATATGTACCTTGGACCTTTCATTGGGGCTCAATAGCATTCATCCAATCAAATTGGTTGATGTTGTTTGCATTGGGCGCCGCCAAAACGGGTTTAGCGCAGAATCAGGCTACGACTTGCCCCCTCTCCTCACTCTCTCGTATCCTTCCTCCCTTCAAGACTCATCCTTTTCAACACATACCTACTTCATCCCGTTTCCAGAATCCAGTGATCTCAACTTCTTCCTTTAAACGCGACTTAAATCCTAGGTCGCATATCATCCACGACGCGTTCATCCAGTGACTCTTGCTGAACCTGCAAATCGCCAGCTTTGCTACCCGTCGCAGTCATGTCTGCCAACCTTGATAAGTCCCTTGATGATCTCGTCGGCAGCCGTCGCCAGACCACTCGCCACACTGCTCGTCGCCGTGCTGGTTCCCGCCGCGCTGCGACTAAGCCATCCGCCGTCGGAGGTGTGAAGAAGTCCACCAAGGCTGCTCCCAAGGCTGCTCACCCAGCCCCTGTCGCCCAGACCGGTTCTAGCAAGATTCTTGTCAGCGGATTGGTAAGTTCTCGCTCTTCTGACATATCTACTTGTTCATGTGCTAATCTTCTCAGCCTTCCGATGTGTCCGAGGCCAATGTCAAGGTATGTTGATCTAAAGGCTCTCATATTGGCTTTCATCGCCATCTCTTTTTTCGAGAATCTCGCGGCGCAAACGATTTCGACCGACTCTCCGACCTCTCTCTACCTCCTCTCACATCGATGGATATTCCTCGATGCACGGCACACACAGTTTGCTCCTTCTACATGTCTCTGCAAATATATACACATTGCTGGCGCTCTGCAGGACAAGAAGTCAAACTGTGTTGTAGTACGGTGAAAAGATGTACATTGCTCGTGTCGATTCCCACATAGGAATCCACCCGCCTTGTTCTCTGAGTACTATGCCGAGGATGATTGATGAAAACTCATCATCCTGACCTCTCTTCTTCAACCCTGCGCATTTCCTTCATGTCATTCTACTTTGAGATCCATACGGGCATCAGCGAGCGCATCAGTGGAACAGTGGTCAACAGCTTCAGAGGGCATACTGAAACCTACCTATTCGAGACACTTGTCTCCAGTCTCTCCGTGAAGAGTCTTGCTGCTATGGGGTGATTACCTATTTCAGTGACTTGGAGAAGTTTAAACTGTGTCTGGAATGGCCCTACTCTGTTGGGATGACACATACATGGGCAAATAGATTCCAGTTGACAATCTCTTCCTTGATGGCGGTGACGTGAAAGAATGCTTTTGTTGAAGGACTTGTTGTGATTGCTTGATGGATTTGTGGTTGGTGTGAAGATTCCATACTACTATGTATGTTTGTGGGTTTTATGTTCCATTTTGGGGAGCAAATTTGCGACCTCTCGGATGGGGTTACAAATATGGAGCTATATGTTCCATGTTCCAATGCTAGGATGGAACGGACGATAGATTGATGCTGTGTGCTCGCTGATGCTCTCTCCTTTGGCTGTCGTCGTTTGCGCCGCCATACTTCCGACACTCGAGAACCGCGCTTTCATTCAAATTGTCTGACGAAAATACTGATCGTCTTTGTTTGCGATATAGGAATACTTCAACAAGTCTGCTGGCCCCGTCAGACGAGTCATGCTCACCTACAACCAGAATGGTACTAGCCGTGGCATCGCCTCTATCCAGTTCGCCAGGGCAGACACCGCTGCCAAGGCTACCAAGGAGCTCAACGGACTCCTCGTCGATGGTCGCCCCATGAAGGTAAATCCTTTTGCTCTGGCTAACCATAATTGCAACATTTACTGACCTGTATGATAGATCGAAGTTGTCTACGATGCGTCTCACGTTCCTGCTGTCCCTGCTGCCAAGCCTCTCACTGAGCGCGTTGCGTAAGTTGACGTCCATTCTAGCGGTCCAGACTCATATGCTTATTCATTTACAGTCAGAAGGCTCGGCCCAAGTCTGCCACTGCCCCCAAGGCCAAGGAAAACAAGACCACCACCACTGAGAAGGGAAGCCGCCGCGGAAAGGGCCCTGCCCGCCCTCGTGGCCGCAACGCCGGCCGTGGAAAGCCCAAGACTGTTGAGGAACTTGATGCCGAGATGGTTGACTACTTCAGCACTGATGCCCCCCCCTGCTGAAGGCACTGCTCCCGTCAACGCCACTGTCCCCCAGGTCAACGCCAACCAGGACATCGGCATGGCTGACGAGATCTCCTAAACGGTTAAACGACTGCTTTCACTTTCCTCCATCGTGGCTCCTGCATGATACAAGTTCCGCAAATATTCTCGGGAGTTCTTTATGGTTGATGCGCGGGTCATATCTCCTTCTGTGCTCCTTTTGTTCTGCTTCTTTTTTTCACTGGCTGTGTTTCTCTACCTCTTTTTTACCTTTTTTCTTTTGCTAGTACCAGCAGGCTTAATTCTTTCATGTCTTTCGCAGAAGCCGGTGGAGGAAAGCATGTATCTACACTCACAATGGGACATTACAAATGACAATCAATTTCGAACAATCTTGGAATCCCTTCAAAATCTCCAAACCTCGGACTCCCTGCTAAAAGAAGATGCCAAACTAAACGCCGAACCCCACCCTTTTATCCATGAAAACAAGAAATGCAGTCCCATCAAAGATCTACACAAATCCCCCACTTCTAAAACACACCAGCTCTTGTCATGACATCATGAAACTGCTCCAAAGTAACACCAGCACTCAACCCAGCACCTCCATTCCCTTCAAGGATCATATCCTTGAGCAGGTCATCGCCCACACTATCCTCCTTCAATTCGCGCGCAATGCGCCGCAGATGCGACAGTGTAATAGGGCCATCCGTGCCGCGCGTGAATAGCTGGTACGCATCGTCCACCTCGGCAGCCATGGCGTCATCATCGCGCGAGCGTAGCTTGGCTGCTGCTATTGAAACGAAGGGGCTGTAGGGCACGTATCCGCTTAGAGTTGGATCCAGTGCGGAGAGGATTTCTGCGAGTTCGGTTGAGTCGGTGGGGGGAGGCCAAGAGCGCTGTTGAAGGGAGAGTTGTTAGTATTTGTAGTTATAAATTGAGAGTAGGCAATTGAGGAAGGGCGTGGGGAGTTGTAGGTATTGTCGATTGTTGTAAATTGCTCGGGTCGAGTGGTAGGGAAGCCTACACCAGTGCTTTGCGCACGTCTTCCCGGGGAATGACTCCCTCCTTCTCCTCCGGGAAGTCTGCATTCTTGTCAGAGAATAGCTGGAATACTTCTTTTATTTCGTTTTCTTCTTCGGCCGTGATGTTGTTCTCCTTGGCGAGCTTGGATGCGCGTCCGCGCTTGGGTGCTGCCGGTGCGGAGGAGCTAGCTGCGCCTCCGCGTTTTTTGGGAGGCTGCGAGGAAGTCAGATTTGGTTTGGAGTATTGAGGATATCTGGGATTTCTTACCATGTGGGTATCACTGGCAGGACTTGCAGCTTTGGAAGGGTGTTGACATGGACAAAATGAGGATTTGGCCCCGGGGGTGACGAAGGTGGGGAGAGCCGCGATTGGAAAACGATCTATGGATGCAGCACTTCAGCTTCACAGCTGTCTAGCACACAATTATGCGCATAAATGACTATTTAAAACATATAAAAATGCAAAGTCCATTTTGTATTTGGCTCCTGATATATACTACATACATAACTTCTCTAATTTTGGATGTCCAGATGTCTACGGATATATCGAGATCAGTTATTAATTTTGGAGGTAGGAAATAGCGAGAAATGAGATCGCGTCAATGAACAAAGCTACATTCCATTTTGATAAAGTGAAAATATCAAATATCACGTCCATACAAAATGTTATAGAAGACGATCGAAGGTGATAGCACCTGTGGCAGGCATGCCGGTGCTGACGTTATCGGATTGGAGCCTGCGTAGGTCGCACTTTAAGGGCACTTTATCTCGACTTTCACTTCAAAGGGTTACTCTCTTCTACATCGGACACCTGTTTCATCATGGATGTCTCACTATATGTATACGACCTTTCAAAGGTAGGGGTTTCAATTCTACACGTGGTAAACCTCAACTAATTTGGAATATAGGGTCTGGCCCGAATGGTATGTTCGAACGCGCCATTGAAAGCGAGTAGTCTCTAATTTGCACAGTACTCCCTTGCCCTGACAGGGACGCAGATGGATGCCATCTATCATACATCCATTGTCCTCAACGGGATCGAATATTACTTCGGCCAGGGTATTCAGACCGCTGCCCCAGGGAGTACCCATCATGGACAGCCCATGGAGGTCGTGAAGTTGGGCACCACTGAGCTTCCAAGTGATGTTATTGAAGAATACCTGGGCTCGTTAGCAACCATTTATACGCCCGAGGTTTGTTCATGAATAACTTCAGCAATGGAACTATGGCTAATCAGCTCTAGTCATACGACCTTTTTCTTCACAACTGCAACAACTTTACTCAAGATCTTTCAATGTTCCTTGTCGGTAAAAGTATCCCTGAGAACATTATCAACCTACCTCGCGCTTTCCTCGAAACTCCATTTGGGCAAATGATGAAACCTCAGATTGAGATGGCCCTTAAGGGTGTCACTCAAGGCACCGGGACAGGTCCTGCCCCTGGGCCTAGTGTTCAACCAACCACAGCAAGGGCTGTCCCTCCCACACCTCAGCCAGTGGCTCATCCAGCAGCAGGCACAGTCCGCATGGTGAGCAACCTCAATCAACTACAAAGTGAGCTGTCTGGTGCTTCCAATTCCTGCGCCGTTATTTTCTTCACATCGTCAACGTGTCCGCCCTGCAAGGCGGTCTACCCAACTTATGATCAACTTGCAGCAGAAGCAGGTGAGCGAGGTACTCTCATCAAAGTCGACATTGGCATAGCTCGCGATGTGGGCATGAAGTACAGCGTGCACTCGACTCCTACCTTTATGACATTTTTGAAGGGCCAAAAGATGGATCAATGGAGCGGTGCAACGCCGGCTAAGCTAGTGGGAAATGTTCGTATGCTCTTAGAGATGGCACACCCAGCCCACCCCCATCGTCAACTACGACTTCCAAGTCTCCAGCGAGAGATTACGACTTTCGTCATGTACAAGAAGGTCCCACCACTCGAGAAACTCCTCCAAAAGCTTCCTGACACATTTAAGGATGGTCAAGGTGTTGCGCAGGTTATTGAGTTTGTGAAGTTGCGTCTGTCAACCACCGGACCTGTGGCCGATATCAGGGTCCCTGATTTGCATACATTTGCCACAACATTGACCTCCACATACTCAACGCTTCCCAGTGGCAGTCATTTTGCCGTGGTTGATCTCGTTCGTCTTCTTCTGCTTGACCCACGTGCAAGCGGATATTTCGCCGAAGAAGCCCAACACGCAACCCTCCTAACCCTCCTTGCACCCCTATCACAAGACGATTTATCCTCATGTCCATACAATCTCCGCATTGTGGCTCTCCAACTAGCCTGTAATCTCTTCAGCACTCCTCTATACCCAGAGCAACTCACCTCCTCCTCATCCCCACTCCGCGAGACCTGCCTCCGTCTCGCGACCAACTCCCTCCTAGACTCACAAACCAGCCTCCGTGTTGTCGCCGCTTCTTTTGCATACAATCTTGCCTCGTTCAATCATAACGCCCGTTTAGATGGCAAGCCTGATCCTTTGTCCGAGGAAGATCAGGTCGAATTGACCGCGTCGTTGCTTGAGGCTGTTTCTCGCGAGGACGAGAGCGTGGAATCCTTGCATGGGCTGTTATTTGCCCTTGGCCTTCTTGTTTATGAAGCTCCGATGGATGGGTCTCTGATTGACCTTTGTCGCGCTATGGGTGTGGCGGAGACAATTTCTGGAAAAACGAAGGTCGAGGCCGTACAGAAGGAGCCGCTACTTAAAGAGATAGGAGAACTTTTTTAGCAAGGGACTGTAATTATTCATTTCCTCCATAATGTCCAATAGGGATTTCCATGAATTCGAATTCACCTAAAGCTCGGCAAAAATCTAATAAACCATCTCTTTAGTTCTCCTTTCCCACTCCCCATGGGTTATTCAATCAACAAAGATGTCTCCTTCCGCTACAAATGCGGCATGACCGGCAAGTTTGATAGTGGAGACCTTCTTCCTGTCCTCATCCAAGAGCACATCCACAATGATATGACTATCCCTGCCCATCTCAATTCCCTGATCAATATAGAACCGGTGGTTACGGCCCTTCTGGCCATTCGATAGGGCAAGGTAAGCTCCGAGAGAACACCCCCCACTACCACAAGCAGGATCCTCTAGATCAATTGCGATCATGCGGACACGAAGATCCCAAATCACCAAGTCTCCCTCTGTACGAGACCCAAGATGCCGGTGATACATGATCCCGGTGAAAGAAGGCGACCATCCCTCATCAAGATCAAGGTCTGGACTTCCACCGGGCACGATATTGGCGAATATATCTGATCTTTCAGTCAGGTCCACCAACGCATATGTGACACCTTTGACCACGGAGACTACTGGCGATGCCTCTGCTAGGCCCTGCAGATCCGAAACCCCCTTCAAACTTGGTTGAACAGGAAGGATATGACTTGCTGTCGCACCCTGCTGGTGGATATGGATATTATGGGGGACCTCGGCGGATACAACCTCGTTGGCTGGATCATATGATATCGGAACGGGTCCGGCCTTGGTCGTTACAGTGAGGGCGTTTGAGCGATTGGGAGTATCGGCCAATACTTGGCGGAAGAGGAAGTGGCCAGCGCCAATGATGGGATGGCCAGCAAACTCCATCTCGTTGACAGGAGTGAAAATGTCTACCCGAGGATTTCCATCTCCTGTGGCGGGATGCAAGAACACTGTCTCAGAGAAGTTAAATTCCTTGGCGATTTGTTGCTTTTGTTCTTGTGACAACTTGACATCGCTGAGCTTCACAATAGCGACAGGGTTTCCCTTGAACCTATTGCACCCAATTAGTTGCCATTGGGTCATTTGTATTGACACGATGGAGAAAATCATACCTCTGTGATGTGAATACATCGAGGGTGACTAGGAAGAGTCAGCGCATATCAACTCTGTGTTATTCTAGACTTTCATACCATATGGTGCCTTTTGTCCCGACATGATGGCGATCATTTAACAAACAAGAGCTTGTAAGAATAATTGACACAAGTGTTATGAAGGATTATAAGTACATCAAGGTTGATAGTGTGGAGTTTGGGATTGTCAAGCATAAGAGTTGATATCGGCTATCATCGGTCCAAGTATACGAATGTATACGAAGTACTAAGGTACAAGTGGATGATATGTGGGGAGCAACAGTCTGACTCCGACACAAATTGATCGTTGTAGTTGACAGGGCGTAAATAACGTTTTCAATTTTTAAGAGCCCAACCTTGGAATCCTCCCGGATATGTTCATCCGGCCCCTTGATCGGCGACATATCGGCATTATCCCGAGACCCATCTCGGCTACTCTCGGTATCAGTCATCACACACTGCCCGGATTCGGCCTTGAAGATATCTAGGGCGGGGAAATCAGTTGAAGATCTTCAAAGCAAATATCACATCCTCTGTCTCCCCTCACCCTTGATCATGGCAGAGAACATCACCCACCACATCGTCGCCATTGAGGCTGTTCATTGCCCAATCCCCGAATTCGATCTACCAGGGCCGCATACTCGCGCAGTCCATCGATGGACCGATCCCGTCGATCTACCCAGCCGCGTTAAAGATGCCACAATCATCGTGACAACAACAACACGCCTGACGGCAGAGACCCTCAGCGCTGAAGTCACCCCAAAACTCCGCCTCATAGCAATCATGGCGACCGGCACAGACTGTGTCGATGTAGCAGCTGCGTCCGCACGAGGAATCACCGTGTGCAATTGTCCCAGCTCTAATATTGACAGTGTCAGTGAGCATGCCATTGGACTTTACTTTGCTACTCGACGGAAGTTCATCGAGCTTCACAATGCCACAGTTGCAGTTCCTGCGGACTTGTCACTTGATACTGAGTGGAAGACCAATGGCTCATTGCTCAGTCGGGTTCGTGCACCTGATGGAAAAGCCCCGCTGCTGTGTAGTGATGAGACTGTGTGTATTGTCGGGTACGGATCGCTAGGCAAACGTATCGAGGCCATGGCAAAGGGTCTCGGGATGAATGTGATTATTGCTGAGCGGAAAGGTGCATCTCCTCGAGCGGGTCGGGTTCTGTTCGAAGACGGGTTGAAAAAGTCGACTGTGGTTGTTTTGTGCTTGCCACGAAGCACCGAGACGCTCAACATGATCTCTACTGCGGAGTTGCAGATTATGTCCCCACATGCCGTGTTGGTTAATGTTGCAAGAGGTGGGATTGTCGACGAGCAAGCCCTCGTTGAAGCTCTCAAGCGTGGGGCGATTTCAGGCGCAGCTACAGATGTTTACGCCACAGAACCTGCTGGGAGAGGCGATTCCCCGCTGTTAAGTCCAGAAGCAGCGGGTTTGAACTTGGTGTTGACACCTCATCTTGCCTGGTATTCTGAAAGGACGTTGCAAAACCTACAGGCTGCGGTGAAGACCACGATTGAGAAGTGGTGTGTTGGTGAGATTATCAACCAGGTACGATGATAGTCAGGAGATTTTGGTCATTTGTAAATACATTTGGGAAATGAAGTATTATAGACTACCCTTTAGAGCACTTTGAGACCTTGGGAAAGGAATACACAGGCTACTTAGAATAACGAACACAAAAAGCTACGTTGTTCAAGGCACAGATATAGAAAGTTATACCAAATACATTTGGAGCAGACGGTGTCTCTTTATTACTGGGTTTCATGAAAAGTTTTTATGCAACAAGTTATGCCATAAATACCGACTCGTATCCTAGAATACCCATATCCCAATATATGCAGTATAGGCTGTGTCTATGCATTCAAATGTAAAACCCAGATATTCACTCTTGACTTCCGACAGATGCTTTAGACACATGGGTCTTGGGAGGTACATGATACAGTTCAGCAGCTTTCGCTTTTGCATACGCAAGCATATTTCCATGGCTATTTAATAGGCCCTTGCTATGTGCATCTTCCAAATCTGTCACCACTGATAGAATCCTATATTATTGTTAGAATCAAGCATTATACTAGGTAAAGAAATACACATACCGCGTATACAATATTGGCTCTGTCTCCGACTCCTCTACCAAAAACACCCGGACAAGATGGGCTCCTGTATCTAAGGCTGACTGAAACAACACCCAGCTCTGAATCCCCAGTGAAGCCTCCGGATTCAAAGCCACGTATTGAACCAAAGGGCGATAGAGCAAAAAGCGTGCGAGCCAATATAGGAGCTTCACACGAGTCCCGATTTGGGTCAGAGTACCCTCATCCGGCTGAATGGACCAATCTAGAAATTCTGGAATTTCTTGTGTCCACTTAGCTAGCTGTGCCTCCAATTCATTTGCCACTGGTGATAGTTGATAGTTGGAATATTCTCCCTGCAAAAGTTGATTAGGAGGTGTTTCATAAACTCGAGTCAAAATGGCCTTTAGAGATATCTCTGCAAGAAAAAATGTGTAGATTATTCGTGTTGCAGGTTGCATGTGAAGTGTTGCCGATTCTTCGCAGCCGAGAGGGAGAGGGAGGAGGTGCTCCAGTTTAGAAAGGCATGTCAAGGGCAAGTCGTTATATTCCATGAGTATATCTCTAATAAATACAAATTAGTATCGATGGGTGTCTGAGGTCCGATGTAAGTTACCTTTCAAAATATAAAGATATCCAGAAGAGACGTAGAGTGGTATTGCGATGTGTCTGATCGCGAACAACTTTGAGACTCAAATCTCTGCCAATTTAATAAGTCTGGATACTCCTGTACTGGAACTGATATCGAAAACATACCGCTGGATCGCCACATACAGTGTTGTACATCCTGAGTGGACATGCTGCCATGCCTCTAGGACATGTCCTTTGCGATATAGAAATATCGCCGAAAGAATTTCCACCTGAGCAAACTCAAGACTAAACTCTTTCTTAAGACCAGAAAACATATAATTTGCCATTTGGAATTCTCTCAGTCCTTGATCTTGCCCCAGAGAGTTATGCGCTTTAAATATAGCGACCAGCAGTGTCACCAAGCAAGTCATCACATGGGATGAAAATCCATGCTCTGCAATATTGGACGCTGCCGCTAGTGCAACCTGATCGCAGATAATCGGATACAAAGGACATACTTTGTCAAAGAATCCCTCGACGTATCTTAAGAGCTGTTCTGACGAAGGAAACTGGCAGAATCGAAGTATGTCCAGAAAAGGATCTGAGCCATTTTGATCCGCCAAAGTCAACGATCTGACCTGATTTCCAGGTGATGTATCTTTTGGCTCAAAGATACCGTGGCCCCGTTCCGCAGTAGCTATGGCATCTGACTCTTTCTGTTCTTTGGATCCTTCCAAGCGTTGTAATATCCGAAGAATATTGTCGAGGGACTGCTCAACAGCTTCCAAGCGCCCAGCAAAGGGAGCCACGCTGGAAGAGCTCCTAGGAATTGATGGATTAACTTGTGAAAATATTGAAAAACCTAGCTAGGAGAGTTCATTCACTTACAAAGAATCAGGACGAAGTCGGTAGTCGCATCGAAAGCCATTCTTTGCGCAGAACGAGCATTTTGGTTTGGCCTCACTACATCGCACCTTCTTGAAACGGCATGTTTGACACGCCTATTTGATATGGATTTAGTAATCTACAGCGGCTAGTTGAAATCAATGGGAGTGGAACTAACTGCAGAGGCGCGTGAGACCCTGTGAGGATATGCTGTGGCAGCAGCAGGCGTCACGAAAGGGTCCCGATCTGGATATGGCATTGTATAATTGTAATTCTAAGTAAAATGTGAGACTTCAACTCCAATCACACGATACTATGGATAAAGAATCAAGATCACCAAGTTTACTCGGTTGAGATTAGCTGTCACGTCATTCGTACTAGTTGAGTGTAATTTGAAATATCCCCGTACGAAACGGCCTTTGCTCTTATACTCTTATAGAGTGTGATATTGATATTTATTCTGATTCGCTACACACGGAACATCCGGCTTGCGATGCCATTACCTAAATCACGCCATTGAGAGCTTGAGCAACATACGAGGTACCTTGGTACAAGAGGGGTCCTGAACATTTATCGGAACGACCCGACAGCCTGATATTAGGATAAATGATCGTATTATTTAATGTGATGTTTTCGTATTCAGTGCTTATTCTAATGTTCTAATGTTCTAATCTAGACATCATCTTTTCCTATCTCTATCTATCATGGCGAATTCCAACACCACCTCAAAGCTTCGAGTAGTTATTATCGGAGCTGGTCCTGCTGGACTCGGAGCTGCCATTGAATTTGCAAAACTTCCTTTTGTAGATCTAAAGATCTATGAGCAAGCTCGTGAACTACGTGAAGTCGGCACTGGTATTAGTCTGCAGAGAAATACATGGCGACTATTAGATGCGTTTGGTGTGCTAGAAAACATTGACCCAAGCGACTTCTTTCGATCGGCGGATGGACACTCTGTGCAACATAGAAATGGGCGGACTGGGGAGCTGCTTCTTTCCAATGGACAAAAGGGTGAGAATTTAATCTTCTCCCAGCCTTGAGCCAAACATTGACTGTTTTACTAGACACGCCTCCGCGACACAAACACGCACGAGCTCTACGAACTGTACTCCAACGAGGCTTACTAGATGGGGTAGATGCCTCCCTCTTGAGGCTCTCGAGTCGACTCGTAGAGATTGTTGAACTCCCTAATGGAACGCTGTCGCTCCGATTCGAAGATGGCCACACTGATGAGGCCGACCTGCTTGTGGGCGCAGATGGTGTTCGGTCGGTAGGAAACATCATATCTCCCTCCATTATGCGATATTTCAAACTAATCTTCTTCGAGGTCGCCCGGAGCTTTGCGTTCCCCGATCATCGCATCGGCTACACAGGCCGTACAGCTTACCGAGCCCTGGTGGATGCTGACAAGCTCCTTCGCATTCCCAACTTCCCAGACGCAGTGACATTTTGGCATGGCCCCAAGGACTGGGTTTATACTTGCAACCTCAACAATAATATTTACGAGGTAACAACAATGGCTGAGGTCTCTGGGGAAATTGCAAAGGTGAGCTGGGGTGAGGATGCAACTTTGGAAGAGTTCCGAAAGCCATACAAGGTAAGCAAATTGATCCGCGTTATGGCCGATTTTCTAATCCAAGCCTATTAGGAATTTGCGCCTATTGTACAGGCAGTTCTAGACGAAGTGAAGGAAGTCAAGAGGTTTGCCTTATTTGCTGGACCACGACTCTCCACTGTGATCTCCCGTGGATCCATTGCGTTGATCGGAGATGCTTCACATCGTGAGTTTATTGTCCAATACGCAAAAGAAATTACCGCTGACTAGCTTCCAGCGCTATCTGGTGCTTTTGGTAAGATAAGCCATTTAGAGGCTCGATATAAAATCTTCTAACAAAAGAGCAGGTGCTGGAGCTGGCTTTGCGCTGGAAGATGTTTTTGTACTTACGCAGAGTGTGAAATGGGCATACGAGAGGGATCTTCCCGTGGGCCAGGGATTACAGCTTTTTGACAATGTCCGATCGCCGCACTATGAACAGCTAGTATGTTGACCTTCCCACCTAGGTAGGCCACAGAAGATCTTGACTAACTCTCTCCTACTAGTATGGTATCCTGGATGAGTTTGCCAAATCCGACGCCGCAATCGAAGTACCCGTTCCATTCGACGATGCGGTGGCAAGGACCGTATCTGATAAATGGAGCGAAGACCACCACTGGTTGTATCACTACGATGTAAGTTTTTATTCTACTGGAAGGAAAAGCTTCCCGAAAGAAAAACAGTAGATTAACCAGCAAAACAGATCCAAGAGGTATGGAAGAAAGCTTACAAGGCAGAGGACGCCCGTGCCCAGGATAATGCAGAGAAATTGAGCTCTCGCCTTTGATGGATAGCATATATTCAATGCAGTTCAATTCAATTGGTTTAAATTTCCTTTTTTTAATTAGCAAATGGTAAAACTCAAGACTATCCGTTGGAATTCCGAGTTGGCCCTCATAGGCAAACAAACTACAGTAATTGGCACCACTAAGTTTCTATCAATGTTGGTTAAACTCTTATGATTTCGCCATCCCTACAGACTAAATCGGTTACAACTGTGATATTATTAAGCAACGTTGTGGGCCCCGGGATGAAGTTGATTTAGTCGTAGCCATCTTTCATCGCGATGGCGTCAATTCCCTGTCTCCGGCTTTTCCGTGTAGAGCCAATCACTACTCTTCGGCTTGTGCCTCCAATTCTTCCAAGATTGTCTCCACAAAGCTTACATTCGTATTACTTGTTTGCTCGTGCGCATCGCTAGATGAGCTACGCGCGGAGTTAGGATCGTTTATAAAGCTGAGTAGTACCAGCTCAATATGAATTATATCAATCTTTGTTCTACTAGGAATCTCAGAATATGTCTTCCCACTTGCAAAGAATCAGATTACACCCATGGTATGTGTTTATTTTCTATTCTGGATTTTGAGCTCTTAGTCTAATACTTTGATAATAGGTATAGTGTCGCCATCGTGGCCTGGACGGCCTTTTGTCACCCGGGAATGTTTGGAGCATTGAATGTGAGTGAATTTAACGTGCCTTCTGAGTTCGAGCTAATATTTCTCTGTAGGGCTTAGGGGTTAGTCTTCCTTCACACTTTAGTGTAATTTTCTGTGTTGGCTAACATCGGATACAAAGGCTGCCGGAGAAGAAACGGCATCCTTATCGAATGTTGTAAATGCGGTGACATTTGGTGCTCTCACGGTTGGTGGGTTCTTCACTGGTATTATCTGCAACAAGATCGGTACCAAGTGGACGCTTGTCCTTGGGACATTGGGCTATGCCCCTTATGCAGGTTAGTGATTGGAATTGCAACATTTCTTTCTCGGCTCATATATTGATCAAGCGCAGCGGCTTTATATACGAACGCAGCATTTGGCAACAAGCAAGTCTTTCCCTAGTAATTAAAAGCATTGAATGACGATCTAACAAAATTAGGTGGTTTCCCATTCTTGGTGGGTTAACTTGTGGCACCAGTGGTGTATTTCTGTGGACAGCATCCGGAGCCATCAATCTCGTGTGTATGTTTCCTTCCACTTCGCGCCCTGTCGCATATTTAACACATTTCTAGATCCTCCCGTCCAGGAGCGTGGTCGGGCAGTGGCTACCAAATTCACTCTTCAGAATTTTGCCTCGTCTTTGGGTGGCATGATATCCCTCGGCCTCAATATCCGTCAATCTCAAGCCGGACGAGTTTCAGACTGTAAGATTAGTCTATTGACTATATGAAAGAAAAAGTACATTTGCTAACCTCTATAAAGCGACATACTTTGTTTTCATATCTATTATGGCACTTGGACTGCCCGCGGCAATGACCATCCCTCAGCCACATCAAGTCGTTCGTGGAGACGGGTCCCGCGTGAGCGCTCATCGGTTCCAATCGTGGAAAGGGGAGCTTGCAGGTCTTCGTCGAACATTAGGGCTAAAGAGCTTTCATATCCTCCTTCCATTCTTAATATACTGGGTTAGTCTCTATGGCCTTTTCTTTCCACTGGTTCAATCGAGCTAACGGCCACCAGCAATGGGATCTATCCTATATGTGGACTTGGAATGCCCAGTACCACAGTGTCCGCGCTCGTGCTCTCCTTAGCACGCTTTTCTACTTGGGTAAGTGGCTAGCGTGGCTCGGCCGTTAAGTCAGGGCATCTAACGGGAATAACAGTTGGGCCAACTTTCATTGGGCCTCTCCAGGGCTATCTCCTTGATAATGCCAGATGGAGCCGTAAATCGCGTGCTCGCGTTGCTGTTGTCAGCTTTACAATTCTAACACTTTTAACTTGTACGAAAAGAACATTCGATATTTCCATCTGTGTTCTTTGCTGATTCTCGGATATAGGGATCTATGGTCTTGTCGTCCAATACCAATACGATAAGCAGACTACAATCATAGACATTACAGACCCAGTGTTTATCAAATCCTGCCTGCTCTTTATCTTATACGGGCTAATTGAGAACTCTGCAATGGTTACTGGTTATTGGATTATTGGTAAGTATAGATAATTTCATTCAGAAGCGAAAACTGAAACGTATTCTAATGGATTATTTTAGGCTCACTCGGTCTTGACCCCGGCAGCGTTGCCACCTTCGTTGGACTTGCGTAAGTGGACATGCGTGAACGCAAAGGAATATTTAGACAAGAAGGAATGGCTAATTCTAGATGCAGAACGGCCATTGGCTCAGCCGGATCAACAGCAGCATTTATTCTTGGGGCATGCAATGTCTCTTTGATTTGGCAGTTGTGGGCGAATGTTATAACTTTCCTTGTCAGCGTACCTGGACTACTGTACACGGGCTTTAACCTTGTCACCGAGGATGCGGTTATCGATGCAGCAACTACACACGTGGACTGGATTGATACCGCAGAAACAAATGAGGCTATCTCTACTCGTGAGAAAGATAATGTTCACTCTGTTACGGAGGCCTCTCTTAGTAGCTAGTGAGATGCTGCTTCTATTTAGGATGGTGAATGGTTGTTTCTTTTTATCTCCAGTATCGGCTGAGCACGAGCGGGAGCCCTGGAGTATACCTACTGGCCAACCTAGCTCAAATAACTAGGTATATTATAAATCTTAGATTTGGATTCTTTCATGAAAGGTATATTTTGTAATATGAAAGGAAATTGCGGAACTGTCTAATCTCTTTGTATTCGATGGTAGTAGGTAGGCAAGTAGGCAAGTACGGCAAATGGGTGGGTGGCAGGTAGGCAGGTGGTAGGTTGAAGATAAGAGAATACAATAGAAACTACTCCATATACAGGACGATCCATAAAGATAGGACAGAAATCCAGCAATTGATCTCCGTCGAGACCAAAATACTCGGGGTCAATCATACATCTGACGACGTGACATGTAGAAGCTAGGCTTAGGTTCGAGGGTTTTATTTCTCAGGCGCCCACACAGACTTAAAATTCATTCTTTTTCTTAAGCCACAATTCAAATGTGGTGTGATTAAGTGTACATTGAACGGTAATCGGCAGTGGGTTTGATGACGAATGCACCTTTGGAGCCTGAAATCTTTTGACCGAATTCGTGGTTGTTTGGTGAGAAAGGTAGCGAAATAAGAATAGACTGAACGTGGCAGACGATGATCGCCAATAAGCTCGTGTCTCAATCAATTCCCTCCCACTTGAAATGCATATCTTTAGGCCTCCAGCCTGTAAGGGGCTGGTTTAGTATCAGATGATACTTGGATTGGTACTTCGTATGCATATGACAGTTATATAACTGGACATATCCATTGATTTTGTGATGGCCTAAATATAAAACCGATTTCCAGGATTATAGAATAATCAAAACTTGAAAGCCAACAGAAAATATACTCCTTTCGAAATATGTGGGAAATTCGTTCCATTATCTTCATTCTGCACTTATTATCTAACTGAGCTAGGCATACTACGCAATTTCTACAAGCGCCGTCTGGCTGGGTTGCAAGGGAACTTCATATAACTTGGGCACTTTTGAGAGATAATGCCACCGCACATTTGGGCAATGCTGTTGCGTGTCTCACTGCTCGACTTGTGGCCTCTCCACTAGGCCCAATACAGTATCTAGAGATCATCCCGCCGTTTGCTCTCGCCACGATTGCATTTGCCTATGTCTTCGACATTGCCAATCAGATCACATCAATAGAAGAAGATATCATCAATAAGCCCTTCCGACCCATTCCCGCTGGGCTACTGACCAAAGAGGAAGCATCACGGCGCTGGTTCCTCAGTTGGTCTCTGCCCGCTATCGCAGTTTTATGCATTTCGGGGCGCGATGCAGCTGTATATTTGGTCATCTGGCAGATTTGGGTGGCATTACATTATTCCTGGCCCAGATTCAATCACTGGTTGATGCGCAATGCTTTCACTGCTGTGGGGGCGACAATCCAGCTGAAGCTGCTTGACGCTGTGATCAGCCATGCGGTTCCGACAATCCAAATGGTTCCCCACCTCGATATCCTACTATTCCTGTGGTTTGCCCTTACCATCCATGTCCAGGAATTCCATGATGTGGAAGGCGACCGCCAACAAAAGCGACAAACACTGCCGTTGATTCTACCACCGAAGGCAGTAGACCTCCTACGGGCAGGCACAGGACTTCTCATCATCACCGAAGCTTGTGTGAGTCTTGTTGTTAGAATTTCACTTCTTCTTCCCACGCCTTCCCTGTTGAGAATCTCCACAGGAGTCGTCCACTTGGTCTTTGCCACTATCCTGGCCACTCGCTTGGTAGTAAGCTCCTCGAAAAAGATGGATCAGATCACATACCATTATTACTATTTTTTAGCAACATATACCATGGTTTTCTTTCATGCATAGGGGATTCTAGTCGAAGTGTCTGTTCTCTGATTTCATTTTCACGGTATTCTCCTTCTTTTCGGTCTGCTATAGAATATATTTTTCATAAATAGAACTGAACCAATACAATCATCTTCCATGGTATTCTATTTTTATAGGCTGTCAAGCACCCAGGAACAGTAGTGGAATTTTGGTATCCAGGATAGCAGCTGTCTAGAGGGTGCAAATTATGGACGCCTTAAGTAACTGTGCCACTGGTTCATAATTCTCTCATTGGTTCATGTTACCAGGAATTAATTTAGATCCACTCTCACTTTACAAGTAGAAACAAATTACTATATAGTTGATGATACCGCCGGTTTAAAAAAGAGATATAATCTGATCTTTATGGGGCTGAGATTCATGGTTGGTCGTACTATTATAAAGTTGATTAATTATATAGTCGAAGGTTATATGTAAACTCTTCCCCGAGGTGATCTAGTAAAGCCGAGCGATCTGGTAGCCAAACCTGTGGAGCGCGATGACCAGGTGTTGCATGAGGCCAAAACTTGGTACCATCATAAGGTGCACTTGGATGGTTGTCACGAACGATGACTGGAGAAGTGTCGTAGCGTTGGTCAAGTGCAACCCCAATGATGTTCCACTTTTGGTATGTCAGATTATACGCCAGTTGCCCCCGTCGCAGTCCACGACTGAACTTAAGCGCATTGAAAAACGGCGTTCTCAACACCAGGGTAGAGAGGGCACTCCTACGCCTACTCTGGGTTCAATCGGGTTAAATCTGAATCCACTTGTAGATATTATCTTGTAGTATTTTTGGCGAGAAAATTCAAAATATATTTGCTGCATTGAACAAAAGCTCAATTACATGGCGAATTCAATTACATGGTGGCGACCCCATCTACCCCTTGCGGGTATGGGGTCGCAACGGATTGGGTACCATAAGAAAGGCTATCATCTATCAGGTAAATAGCTCCAGAAGAGCCTACGCCCAAATTGAAGAGAGAATAGGCAAACCGTCACTGCTAACGCTCAGCTCATTGTGTCTTCTTTGCCTTCACATTTTTCCCTCTTCGGCGCTTCAGGGCATCCGGAGTGTATTCGGTGTCAAGGAGGTAGTCCCACCAGCGGAAGCTGCTTGAGTAGTTCCCAATGAATTTCTCATGGTGGAGGTCGTGATGGTCAGCACCAGCCCAGAAAGGCAAGAAATGGTGAAGACTCCAAGGAAATTCGTATCCACTGTGAGCATCGATAGCCTGGGACAAGCGCAACACAATCCAGATGTACATAGTGAGAATATGCAGGTTACCGGTGAAAGCACACCAGAGGATCGGGGAGCTGACAGTCCCGAAGCCGAGAATCATGACTTCAATAGGAGAAGCATATTCGGCGGCCAAACCAAATGGTGCGGAATACTGATGGTGAATTTTGTGAATAGCCTTGTAGAGTGGACCCCAATGAAGAGCTCGGTGGAAAAAATAGTGCCAAGTGTCCTCCATCACGAAAAATATTGCAATCTGATATGTCATAGTCCAGGGAGACGGAAAAGGAATCGATGTTGATAAACCGCAGAACTGGGCCATTGGATGGAAAAGCCTAGAGGAGCCGTTAGTACTCAATCGGGCCCGAGAAGCAAACGTCAGGTAGAATACCACTCCGTCGAGGGCAGGAACATACCAGATTTGAGGAAGTTCGACGGTGAAGTGGCTCAGAAGCACAAACTTGGCGCAATCCCATTGCTCGCGTAATGAAGGTACTTTGCTCTGAAGCAGAACGTTAGTTTTGATGGCGACTAGAATTGGGTTGATTTCAGCTAGTTGCCAGGTGTTAGGCTTGCCACTTACACTTTGAATCTTATATCTCTTGAAGAAACCCAAGCTATCGATGAAGATCCATGGAAGAGAGCGGCCGAAGTAGAACAACTCATGGATGACGAAAGACATGATTCCGGTGGCCAGGACATCATTCTGCACCCACGCATACCATGCGACCCACAATCTCTCTGCCACGCTCAGGTGGGTATTGGATTTGGTGATATCTTGATATTGGCCCCAATAGGTGCCGGGGGGCAGCACGGTAGAATTCCTAGGAGAAAAAGTGTCAATATACAACAAACTCCACAAAAGAGTATAATTCAACCATCCAGGAGGGGGTGCAAAGAAAGCGGAGGAGATACAGACATGGTCGTTCCTAGCAGGTCTTGAATAAGAGAGAAGAAGCAGAGGCTGAGAGAAGGAGAAGACTACCATGCGGGAAAGACATAGAACCTAAATACGATTGTACTTCTATTAAATTACAGTATCAGCCCCGAATACCGTGTCTACTTGCTTCTCGCTTATTACGGTAGTTTTTAGGGCTACAGTATCGTACAAACTACGGTATCCGGCCGTTCATACATAGCGCTATAGTATCAGGATCTACGGCTACGTAACACTACAGTAGCTATACTAAAAACGTAGCTTAAAAATATATACAACCTTATACAGTTTTTCTTTCCTATACTATTCTTAGGTTATATGACCAAAGACCCCACGGGGGGGTTTAATACTATGTTTTATATAGGTATTTCGTTTAAGAGGGGAGTAAAAAAAGAAACGATCTGGGGGAACTATGTGGACTATGTGGGGCTCGGATGGCTATCGGCCCGTCTGTGGCCTGACCTTTGCGGCGCTGATGACCTTTGTGTTCTCCGTGTGTGGATAACCTGAGATGCACCTGGGCAGTTCTTTTAGATTACGTCCCTGGGCGCTTGGAGGCTCCCGGTCTCACCACTTCGGGAATAGCCTGCTCCGAGTTATCGAAAGCAGTACTGGTTCTTACAGTATTTGCAGTATTTGCAAAATCTGGGGCTACGAACAGTTTCCGCAGTCGTTCAACCGGTGCCGCAACCTGTAACTACAGTAATTTTCTCGATTGTATACGCGGCCTCTTAAGTTGTGACTGTTGACTGCGGCTATTAAGGGGGAAATGGAGCACGCTTGGCGTAACTCATTGATTATAGAACAAAAAGAAGGACCTAGGGAGATATAATAAAGTCTAACGCAATATAAATATTTGGAATTGATTAGGCTATCCTGGTGGTCGCCAAATATAACCAGCTTCATGGCTCCTATGCTAAAAGGATAAAAATATCTAGACTCTTGGCAGAGTAGGTAACTTTAATTTCGATAAAGACAGATCACATTCGTCCTCGTCGTTTATACTGAACAGAATATACATTGGATCATCAGAATAGCTTTTTCCAACTGCCGGCTAGTCACATCTTGGACGCCCTGCCTTTCATCACCCCGACCAAGTTAAAAAATCAAAAATCTTATATAAAATAGCTAGCTCAACCTTCAAGAAAATTTGACTCGTTCAAACCAGACTAGGCCTCTCGGTTATAGATATCGTTATATTTCGACAATGATTGTCGCAGAAGCAAGTCCGCTTCAACGCCCCGGAAGCGCGCAGGGTTCAGGGCGTCCAAGAGAGCTTTGTCATCTGAATTTGTCGACTGCTCGTCATTTCTAAGAATCTCTCTTGCCAGTAGCTTAGCAGTACCAGCAGCAGTTGTAACCCAAATGGCGGCGGCAAGCCATAGATTTGTAACATCAGGGACCCGACCAGCAAAGGGCAAGTTATCAGGCGTGACAGAAAAGATACCATTGAATGGCTTGTCCGCTACCCAAGGCTCTTCCGGGTTTATGTTCTGCCCTTGGACTTGGAACTCAGTTCCATTCTTCAGGTTTGAAGAGGCATCTGACAGCACCTTATCGAAGCTTGATGGCCAATCTCCAATCGCGCTTTCAGTGGGATCAAGCTGCATCGGAGGATGATCATAACTGCCTAGACCATCTCGGTCTCCGTGGTCCCTTGCATAGACGTGATGGTCCAACCAACGAACAAATGGGTACGAGGTACCGACACGTCTAGCCCGGGGCGGAGTAAAGGTGTAAGGGTGTGCGACGGGAACAATGGGAATCGGAAGTTGCGTAACAGGGGTGCTGTCACTGTGAATCAAGGAAGATGTCCAAATTCCAGTTGCGAGAATCACAGTGCTGCCTTCCGAGTTGATATCTCCACTAGCAGTCTTAATAGTCGCTATCTTGGACGTTTCGCTGTCATTCTTGGTGGCAAATCCTGTTATAGCGGCTTCCAAGAAATCCACCCCTCTGGCGCGAGCTTGGTTGACATAGTAAGAAGTAATAACGCCTGCATTTGCAGTTCCATCAGATGGGAAATGCAGACAGTGCTTAATCGAGTTGGCGTCAATAAAGTCCGGGGCAAGAGAAGCGGCCGCCTCTGGAGTAAGAAGCTCTGCGGGTAGACCAGCCCCCTGTGCTGTTTTCTGTCGGCGCTCCAAAGCCTCCAATCCAGAAGGCGTAGAGGAAAGTTCCAAGCCGCCGACTGTTTCAAAGCCACCTGGAATTGTGAGGTAGTCCTGGACGGTGTCTTTAGCTAACCGAGTCAAAACAGGCGATTCATTGAGTTGGCCAACAAATCCCGGAGCATGGCCGGTGGAGCCCAATAGGGTTTCTAGACTTTTGTCAATGAGTATGATATGATTTTCACTTTCAGCCTTGGAAAGATGGAACGCGAGTGCTGCGCCGACGATGCCTCCCCCAACGATAATGATCCGGCGAGGAGATGGATTGTCGTTCAATTGCGCAATGTTTAATGTGGATGGCATCTTGAAAATTTGTCCTTTGAATTCTGAAACTGATTTAAAAGAGGTGATTACTCTAAAAGTGGCTATTCAGAGCCATCTTAACTGTATGGATTGATGTTATCCAGCCCGATGTCGGCATATATGTCCCCTCATGTATCCGCCTCTAGCCGCGTTTTTGCAGAATTGATATTGTTTGAATCGCTAAGGATTGCTTAAATAGTAGACCAGCTATGTTTAGTGACTTGGATCCGCCTGAATATCCTTGGCATTGAAGAATGACTCATTTATCATGGTGGATATACCATGTTGTCTCAGGTTGTCTGCATCAATTTCCTACAACATAGCAATGAAAAAAGACCTTTGAGATGTCGCTAGAGCTTATCCCAAGGGACTGACAGTC